ATGTATGGATTGTGATGAGTTGTATGAGTCCCTAATAAAACGATTAAAAAATAATAATATCACTCAACAAAACTTAATGTCTCTACAATTCATTTCAGAACCAGATCTTAAGAATTTGAAATAACTTTCTTCTAGAAACAATGTTATTTATATGTGATGGCTAAGTTTCAAAGCGTCCCTGAAAAATGTATTTGGCCTTCTACAATGTACCATAATGGAACTCTGATGGTGTAGTGGTTACATGCTGAACTGCAATCAACATGGTCAGCAGTTCAAGACTACCAGCAGCTCCTCAGGAAAAAGAATGGGCTTTCCATTCCCATAAACAGTTAGTCTCGGAAACCCACAGGGGATCACTATGGGTCAACAATGACTCATTAACAGTGAGAGAGAACATATCAGAAGTGTAGTAATGATGAAATTACAAGATATAACCACAGCTAAAGATTTTCTCCACCAAAAACCAAGCAACATCTCTGAATGACATGTCTGTCCTTGCATTATCAAACAGATGGGAGATAAAGGCTCCTATGGGCAACACCAAGGGCAAGAAGGACTGAGGGCTCTAAGATGCTACGATATGAAACAGAGGAAGAGGAAGAGAGCAGATCTCTAACCAACACAGAAAAGAGATATTTCTGAGTCCCTAGCCAATTGCCCCTTTCCTTTTCACTGAACCAAATCCCCACTGACCCTCTATTACCATCCTCCCTACCTATATTAAGACAGACTAAGAAGAAAGGCCTGGTGATCTATTTCCAAAAATCAAACAATGGATACTTTATGGGTCACAATGGTTGAATCACATTGTGCATGAGACATCATGAGTTAAGGTTACGGCATGTAGTAACAACCTTGTTTCTAACCAGACATCTAGCTTTGTCTCCTTCCATCCCAGTGAGAACAGATTCTCTCCCACCCTTCTATAAGGAAAGGGCACAGGGCTTGTGAGGTTTTACCAAAAATATTAGTGGTGGTAAGCTCAAGATAATGGAGTGGAATATGAAAAGAGGGGAGAAAATATTATCTCTTAAATATTTTTAATCACCTAGGCTTAAAAGGGGTACATAGAAACATTAAGGTAATACTGGAGATTCTCTGGGCATACAAAGCACTAAAATAAGATACATATGCAGCTTAGGGATGATAGAGCCAAGAGACCGGGACAAAAGCCAGTCAGTCTACAACCATTTTCTACCCCATTATATGTGAGAAAGGAAGCATAATTCACCAGTAGTACAAAGTCCTGGTGGCGCAGTGGTTCCAGAGCTTGGCTGCTAACCAAAGAACCCATTAGCCATTCTATACAGAAGAAAGTTGTGGCAGATGGCCCCCAGAGGGATTTACAGCCTTGGAAATCTACTGCCTTTACAGGGTCACTCTGAATCAGAATCCACTCAATGGCAGTGGGTTTGTTTGGGGTTTCCCATCAGTAACAGCGGCTCATGAAGGAGCAATGATAGGGAGGAGGAGGTGGAAGTTTCTCCAGTAAAAGCTTGGTGGTGAAAAGATGTACTAAATTAAGAAAATTAAGACATGAGAGGCAAAGTAGCTCTCTAAGAAAGTTGATAATGAGACCAAAGCTTAGGGATGCATGGAAGAGAGTCACATGCCTGACCTTGTTAGCTAAAAATTGATACACTAGACTCTGCCTCGCGCAGCATTCAGCACCGGGAAACTGACAGAACAAGAACCAGCAAATGAACTTTAGACCGGTGAAAGTGGAGAGTTTCCCTTTCTGGGGGTGTCGAGGGAGCCTTAGGTACAGCCTTCCTGGGTCCACACTAGTCTTCTGCCTGGCATCTGGGGCTGCTTGCTCAGCAGCATCTGCCTAATCCAAAAGAGAAGAACGGAGAGTGAGAGGCCAAACTTATCTTTGGACATTGACTCACAGGAAAGAAAGACAAAAAGGAGAATTCATGGCCCATCAAGGAGAAGAGGGGGTCCTGGTAAATCACTGAAGCTATGGATTGGGACTTGAAGGAAAAGACCAGCCCTCACAGGGATAAGGTCCTCTTCCATCCTCTCACTCCATGACTCGGTGGAGGTGGTCTGGATTGATGACTCTCTCAAGCGGGCTGTGTGCTAGAAAAAAACATAAATCCTCTCTGGAAGAAGAAACCTATCTAGACTTAAGTTATGTCTAGTTATATATATGTGTGTGTGTGTGTGTGTGTGTGTGTGTGGCACTCATATAAATACATATGTGTGTGTGTGTGTGTGTGTGTGTGTGTCTGGTACTCATATAAATAACCAGGCATATAAAGATATGAAACCTATCAAAACCTCAAGACAAACAATAAAACTCAAAAAAACTCAAGACAAACAATAGATAATAGAAATATCCAGTTATTGAAATGATCAGACATAGACTTCAAAATAACTGTGCTGAATATGCTAAAGAAAACAAGTTACAAATTAAGTACTAGCCACCACCCCGAGCAGCCAGTCCCCTTCCCTGCCCTCAGCTTCTCCACCCTGGCCTCCCCCAAATGCCCATGGGCCTTTGTCATCTCATCCTTTTTCAAAAGTACAACAACAAAAAAAGGGGGTGGAACTGGAAGTTATAAAATTATTTTTAATAAACTAAAAAAACCAAATACAGGGAGTCCCCAAGTTATGCCATATTTGAATTACAAAAGATTGTATTTAACACTCTATGTTTGTTTTTACATCTTATTGATAGTGAGATGCACTACATGCAATGTTGCTGCATACATTCAATGTTTGATTTATAAAAATATAAAAAAAGGCAACAGTAATGAAAACGTTACAAATAAACCGATTACAATGGAGCCATTGGAACAGGACCCTGTGATGAAGTGGGGACGAGCTGCAGTGAAAATAAAGCAATCAGTATGGGGTTTAACAGCAGATACACAGAGCTAGAGAGAGTGGGAAGAGACAGAAAAAACGATTAACGAAACGAAGCCGCAGCAAGGCTTTCGGAGCTCGTGGCTAACACCGTTCCAAATTCAAGAAGCTCGACACATTCTGAGCAGCACAAACCCCAAGAAAACCATAAACTGTGCTTTGATGCATAATAATATTACTAAAAAAAAGTAAATCATACAAGCAATTAAAGACCTTCAACTGCAAAAACAACAATACTGACAAATGACTTCTCAACTCAAATAAAGCAAAAAAAAAAAAATTCAACATGAATAACAAATATTGCAAGAAAATAATCTGTCAATGGATTCTATACTCAGAAAACTGCCTTCAAAAATGAAACTGAAATGAACTCATATTTTGACAAAACTTGTCATAATTTTCAACATAAACTCCTATCAAAGAAATACTAAAGGCTCTTTCCCAAGTAGAAAGATGGAAGCTCACAGATACAAAGAGGAAAAGGAAAGGCAGCAGACTGGGTAGATCAGCAGTTATATTTAAATGAAAAATGGCTATAACACAACAGAATAATAATTTATAAATTATCAAGGGTTCATGGGGGGGGGCTGGGAGGGAGGGGAAAAAAAGAGGACCTGATGCCGGGGGCTTAAGTGGAGAGCAAATGTTTTGAGAATGATGAGGGCAATGAATGTACAAATGTGCTTTACACAATTGATGTATGTATGGATTGTGATAAGAGCTGTATGAGCCCCTAAAAGAATGATTAAACTTTTTTTTTTTTTAAACACAACAGTAATAATGTCTTGTGAGGTTCAAAATATACATAATAGTAGCACAAAAGGTAAGAAGGGGATCACCAGAATAGACTGTTCTAAGAGCCTCAGAATATCTGGGAAGTGATAAAACAACTAATTTGTTAGATTTGAGTAAATCCAGGATTACCTTAAAATTCCTAGAGTAGCTCTTAAACAAACAGTAGAGGAATACAGATTTAACAAACCAACAGAGAGAGGGAGAAATAAACTGACACAAATCCTAAAGAGAGCAAGAAAAGAGAAAGGCGCAGGCAGAACAGATAAGACAGGTAGAGATGAATCAGTCAGAAGGTAGTTTTAATTCCCCACCCCGTGCCCCCAAATTCAGAAAAGGCTTGTACACATAACAGTCAAATGAAGAAACAAAGATGATAAGACCAAGGAGAAATATGTGCTGCTTGTAGGAGGCACCCATTAAATACAAGAAGTCTGAGAAGTTACAGGGATCAAAAGAGATGCCATATAGACATCAATCAAAAGACAATTGGCATGGTGATGCTAATAATACACAAATGAGGACTACGGTAAAAACTTTATTAAAGGGACATAAATTAAAAGGACATTTCACAATGATGAAAGGTTCAAAGAAGACAAAATATTCTAAATGCTTAGATCTATAACCAAAAATGACAGGATTAGAGGGTCAAAGAAACAAACACACAAAAATAATGGGCAATTCTAACTCAACTATCTCAGAGTAAGCTGACAAGATGACTGGCGAACCTGGCTTATTTGCTACAGATACAACACTACAATCAACCAATACCAGAAAACCACACTCTTTCCATATATATATGAAATGTTTCCCCGCAAATGACCACAAGCTGGTGATAATGCAGAGCTCAACAAATTTCAAAACACTGAAATTTGGCTAAAAGGCAATAATAAAAAGACAATTAGGAAATCCCCATATATCTAGATTAAGAGAAACCTATAAAATAATCTACAGATCAAAGAAGAAAGTACAATGAATATGTTTAAATATTTTGAACTTTTAAAAGACACTGCAAACACAATACAGAAAAACTTAAGATATGCAATCTAAAAGTCAGGCAGCAATTTAAATATGTATATTAGAAAATGTAAATAGAGGGTCAGACAAGCACAACCAAATCCATTTCTATTTTAGTTCCCGTTTTAAAATAAAAACTATATCCTTACAGGATATGGGTTCTCCCAGTCTCTGACTTTCGTAAATTGGAATGACAAAATATATACCCCCAAATAGTTGAAGTATTAAGATGCAACTACCTGTATAAAAATATTACATCTATTGGTGAGGTCTTCAGCAAATTTATCCATTCTCTGCTCTTTAGATAAAATAGATTCCATTTTCATCATCCACGAGCTCACAAAGACGTAGTAAGACTGCACATCTCTAACAAAGGAAAAGAGCGGAGTTACTTGGCACAGGAAAGGACAGTCACTCCCACTTCTTCACGTTGAGTAGAACAGAGTATTTCTCTGCAGCAGCTACTCCACCTTCCTGGTTGTCAAAAAACAGGTATCAGATAAGCATATGCAATCTACTTGTCCCACAATATTTCCTGAGGGTCTACACAAGCCTGGTGCTATTTCTCCGGATAGAGAATAAAACCAGGAAGTCAGCTGTCAACAAAGCAGAAAAACTCCCTGCCCTCCCTACTCTCGCTACCCTGTTTCCCCAAAAATAAGACCGTGTCTTATATTAATTTTTGCTCCCAAAGATGCACTGGGTCTTATTTTCAGGGGATGTCTTATTTTTCCATGAAGAATACGGTACACATTTATTGTTTATAGTTTTATTAAGAGACCTTGTACTTCCTGTCTGCTCCGGCTGCGCTGCGGCCAACAGTGAGCTGCACGGCGGCGCCCATCACTACGGTCCAGAGTCCAGAGTTACGGTAGCTTCTGGGGGCCTTATTTTCGGGGACGTCTTATTTCCGGGGGGATGCCTTATATTTCAGCGAGAGGCAAAACTGTAAGTAGGTCTTATTTTGGAGGGATGTTTTACTTTCGGGGAAACAGGGTACCAGTCTAGGAAGGAGAGCTGTACAATAATGAACCCATCATTAACATCGGTAGGCTGTCAAATAATGGTCAGTGTCCTGGGAAAAAGGAAAAGTAGGGAGAAGAGAGCAGAGCAGGGGCGCTGGAGGGTAAGATTGTAAACTGAGTGCTCAAACGTGGCTCACTGAGAATGTGATCTGGAGCCAAGACTTAAAGAAGATGGAATAGACCACACAAATATCTAAGAGAATTCTGGAAAGGGACTACCACATGCAAATATCCAAGCAAGTGTGACTAGCATGTTGAAGCAGTGACACAGAAGGCCCTAAAGGAGCAGAGGGAGCAGGGATGGGACCAGAAAAGATCAGGGGGTGAAGTGGGGAATAAGCCTGTGTAAATTCTTGTGGGGACTAAGGCCGTCCACTGTGGGTCGGGTGGGAAAGTCACTAGACGGTGTGAGCAGAGTGAACGGATCTCACTTTGGCGTTAAGAGTGTCAATACCACTGTGGCAGATGTGCTCAAAATTAAACTATAAAGGGGAAAGGGCAAAAGCAGGAAAGCAGGAAGCTACTATAAGGCGGAAGGAAGAGGCTAACAGCTTGAACTAGAGCAGCAGTGGAAGTGAACAAACTCTGAATATAAAACCTAGCCTTTTTGAATGCTTACTACGTGCCAGCCACTGTTCTCACTCATTCCATCCTCACAATAATCTTCTGAGGTAGGCAAGCCCGTCTTCCTTTTACAGCAGTGACAGACACAGAGAGGTTAGGTAATGTGCCCACGAGCCTACGATTAGTAAGCAGCTGAGGGGCACACCCAAACACCTCGGAAGCTTTCCTGCTGCTGCGAGCTGAGTCAACTGTGACTCCCAACAACTCTACCTGACAGAGGAGCAGTGCCTCCAAGGGTTTCCCAGGCTGCCGGGATTGATGAGAGCACATCTGGACTTGTCTCCCTTGCAGCCGCTGATGAGTTTGAACTGCTGACTTCTGAGTTCCCAGCTGTGTACTTAACTCTCAAACCAAACTCACTGCCACCAAGTCAATCCTGACTCAGCAACCCCAAAGGACAAGGTAGAACTCCCCCCGGGGTTTCCAGACTATAACTGTTTACAGGAGTAAAAGCCTCACCTTTCTCCTGCAGAGCAGCTGGCGGTTTCAAAGTGCTGACAATGTGGTTAGCAGCCCAAGGTGTATCCACTGTGCCATCCAGGTTCCTAGCACTTAACTAGTACCCCTTTTTCCCACCCTGAAGAGACTAACCAATAATACTTATCTCTACTACAAAGAATGATTACAAACAATGAACCATGCTGTCACTACATCTCCACTAGATCATGTCTCGTCTTAGGACAAGTACTTTTGATCTGCAAGGTGAATTTAACGTACTCTTTTTCTTTCAGAAACTTATTATGTAAAAAATGAACAATTCCCCATGTCAAATCTAATGTTACCAATGCTGTTAAGTCAGAAAAATGTCCCATTACTGCCTGTCAGAGTCAGCTAGAAGACAGCTTTCCAGAGCCAGGGGCGAAATATCCAGTCAAGATAGAATCCCATGCCAAGCTAGGCAGTGAGTCCATTTTAAGAACTCAATCACTGTGAAGAGAGTACCCCACACTTTATTTAATTCATGTGTTTTAGCGAGGTGAACCCTATCCTCAAATCAGGTTTCTGCAGAGCCAGAATCCCATTAAAGAGCTCAATGTTCCTGTGCTTTGTGAAGAGACTGAAAGTGTCCTTTGGAAAGGGAGTAGGGTCAGGTCTCAGCCGGGACCCCTGTGCAGGAAGGGTGAAAAGGCATGAGGAAGGGCTGAGACTGCGGCGCTCCCTGAGAGCACCCATACCAATGGCATCATGAAGGCAAGCAGCACTTTCTATACAGGACAGGTAGTACGGGGGTTTGGTCACTTTTAGGTTAGTTAGACTTTGTGTGACTTGGGCCCATCACTCACTCCTACTGCTGCCAGATGTAGTGTGTCTAGATAACCAGTATTAAAATAAAACTGTTTCCAAAAAAAGTTATTAATTCACAAAGAATGTCTAAAAATGGCAAACAATCCTGTCCATCTGTTGGTCTCATTTTACAATGCAAATAGGAAAAAACACTAAGGAAATAAAACCCCTTTCCTGAAACAACAGAGACCACTTGAACAGTGTCAACTTGGGGTTTGAAGTAAGGGTCATGCCCTTCCATCTACAGCATTTTTAGTGTCAAAAACAGTTGTGAATGAAAAGCTAATTGCAGAAACCCACAAACCGTGGACCCCAGTCAAGGTGGTGGCGGGGGCACTGGGACACTTGGGGTCTACTGTAAAGTGTGGGGGTATTTCACAGCGTCCCCCACCACTTCTTCTATAGGGTTAGCATGAAGTTAGGAGTCCGAGCTGCAGCAGCTCGCAGCTACACCAGCTCCCTGCACTGGCCAGATTTTCAGATTCTCGTGAAGAAGGACAAGGAAATGAAATAGATGACTGCCTTCTGCAGATCTGTGGCATTCTCTGGAGGCTGCCCACGCAGATCTTTGGAATCAAAGATTTGGGAAACATAAAATGTTATCATGTGAGGGGCATTTGAAAGTCAACTATTCAATCTCCTTCCTCATAAGACTTACTTCCTATGCCTCTTTGATGGCTATCCACATTCTGTTTACGAAATTGGTGAAGGAACAACGTGATCTCTCTGAGCAGCCTACCCAACTCTGCTGCAGGGTCCTAAAGCCGAGCTGGCACAGGCCTGAATGCCGTCACTGGCACTGCCTCTAACTGGGTGAACTCACAAACTGTGATTCTCTAACCCTCATCTTCCTTATCTGAAAAGGGGTATCTAATAGCAGTTAACAACTTGGGGCACACATCTCTGCCATATACAAACTGTTTAAGCTTGGGCAAGTTAAATTTTTCTGTACTACCAGTTTTCTCATCTGTAAATTAGCAGCAATACAATCTACCTAACAAGATTTCCTGATTAAAGGAAATCATATATATGAAGCTCCTAGAATACTTATTATGGCTCAGAGTAGCTTATACTAACCAAATGCTCAATTAATATATTAGTTTTTACTCTTATTATTTCCCGTGAGAATGTTAAGTGTTTATATGAAACATGTCCGAAGCCGACAAACCCCTGCATGATTTGAGTTAGTTCAGCCTGCTGGAGGCACAGGAATCAAATCTGCTCCCTTTTCAACCCATGTGAGCCTCATGGGTTTAAAAACCCCTACTGTCCACTTATCAGATTTCTGTATTAAAGGCTGAACTGTTTAGAGACTCTTAAGAGTCCTCACAGGGCGCGGTTCTCAAACCCTGACATCTTGATCACCTTCATCTGGCACTGCTGCGTGTGGCCCTCTGAAAATGGGACACCAGCTATCATTTGGCCAGTAAGGAGTCAACAGAACTATCAGTTCCCATGTTCAAGCTCAAACTACCGCTGTCCCTAACCTAGACCTAATAGTTTTAACTATAATCAAAGTATGTGTTGGCATTTCAGCAAATATATCACATTGTAAAAGAATATCAAGCTTCTTATACAACTAAAATACATGGTTTTTTTTATTATTAACTTAAACCTGATCCTTGTCTCTTCCATCATATATTCTTACATTTATTTCTTATCAGAAATCAAAATGTCTATCTTTATTCATCATCAGCTCTGTTCTAGAGCCCTCTAACAGCTCAGCCATTAGCAATTCTGCATAAACTAGATGGAATTTTCCACTGACTCTACTCAAAGGACGTGGCATACGGAGACGGACATCCTTCTCCTGCCACCAGTGTGGAGCGGTAGATGATAGCCAAGATCAAGAGAAGGTGGAACGGGTCTCTTACACCTTCAACCATGAGCTGGATACAAACGGTGGCCAGGACACAGCCGGTGGCAGAGTCCATGTAAAATCTTCATTCTGATCAACATGTGATCTGCGCAGTATGCTCAAGCGTGCACATTAGGTTTCACTGTTTGTAGGTGGGTGATGGGGGTTCTTTACACTGCCTTCTCTATTTTATGTATGTCTGGAATTTTACATAATAAGTATGAAGCAAAAGTTAAGGACATAATATCTGAAGACAGAGTTAAAAGTTATCTTTCAGGGAACAGGACTGACATACAGAACAATCAGATTCTTTTCACTTTAAGCCCTAACATTTTCTGACTTTTAAAAAATGTGCACATATTACTTCGACAAAAATAAAAATAAAGAAAAGGAAAAGAGGACTGCATCAAGTTAAAGTCAATCCCTTCAAAAGTCATGGACACACTGTTAGCGTCCTTGACTGCAATGACCAGAGAATTTCTCTTGTCACTTCACTGAAATAAAAATTGCAGAATACATTTTAAAATGATAAAAAGTATCATATCTAGACATGAAATTTGTCTACATCTTAAATCAGGTTTAATCCTAAACCTTGAAAAGAAAATTTTTTAAACTCTGTAGTTTCCCTGGAAAACAGCTCATCTAGAGAGTGCCAAGTCGTTCCTCTGACACAGAGGGCATCATCTACTGCCCAATCATATGCTATAAATCCTCTCCATGTACTTAGAAAGAGTTGACCACGAGATCTGACAACAACAAACCATCTTAATGTTTTCAATATGGCTGTTTATAAAACCTACTTTGTAAGCAACTGGGCTTTCTGCTGCAGGAACGAGTCCCTGTGCATTTTGACGGTTTGAAGACTTTTCCTGTCTAGAAGTTTGGCAGCTGTTGGAATTTTCTGGATCAGAAAAGTATCAGGAAACCATATAATATTAGCAGTTAGCGTGATGGCTGGTACCTGGATTAATTAAAGGAAGAAAAATCAGAGTGTATAAGCTGAACAATAAGCTGTTCTTTAATATACAATAGCAGACAGAATTGAGTTCAGGAAGAAAGAACCACAAACGTCCTCATCAATATATTATGGGGCAAGTTGCCACTGCGATACATTAAGGCATTTCTGCATCTAGAGTTGACGGACATGACAGCTACTTCATTACCCCTATCTACTAAACAAAGTACACCGAAACCCATGAATAAAAAGATGCCCAGGTAATTAACAACTTGTATCTTCACAACCCTTACTTTCATTCTACAAACTAAATTTTCAACTTTAAAATTAGGTGAACACATGATAGAAATAGCAAAGTTGTAGAAAAAGACTTTAAATTTTTTCTAGCTCATAATGGCAAGGAGAAAGTAAGAAGAGAAGAAAGAAGGGGGACAAACAGTAGCAGCAGGAGCAGAAGTAGAAAGTGAACATATAGGGAAGAATTAGATACAGACCAATATAGACGTATAGGGAGTAGAGTGATGAGGTATTTTCATTTGTTGTGATCCTTATCTCTGGAATGCTTTGATGTTAAAGGTAACTAGTATTAAATTATTACTTTACATATAAATACACGTGTGTGTATTTATATATATGTCTATGAGCCCTGGTAGCACAGCGGGTTATGTATGGGGTGGCTAACCACAAAGTCCCTCCACAAGAGAAAGGGGAGGCTTTCTATTCCTGTAAATGTTTACAGCCTCAGAAACCGACAGGGGCAGTTCTACCCTGACCTATAGAATCGCTATCAGTCAGAATCAACTCGATGGCTGTAGATTTTGAGTGAGATAATATAAAATAGAAATCTATTTTAAAATATACATTTTACCCCATTTTAAATGACCTAATGAGGTTGAAAAAATAAAGTTCTAAGCTCTTACCTTCTTACAAATGTCCAATAACGCCTTATAAAACTTTTTATCCACAGTTCGAAAAATCTGAAAGTGCAGCACGAAGAGGCCACAGATGCCAACATACTTGTCCCTTTGGTCGATTTCGGAAGGCTCTCCTATAGCGCCAGAATATGAGAGAGAGAAGCAGAGAGAAGTAAATGCTACTGTCAAAACACGACAACCTTACTTAATAAACACTGGGGAGGAAATGCAGTGTACATTACCAAGTTTGGCTTCTACGTTGGAAAAAATTGAGCGAATGCTATGTGCAAATTCTTCAGCAAAAGTGCTATTCTTGGACACGAATACACCTCCATTTAGGGAATCAAACTGCTGTTCTATACAGGCCTAAGCAGGAAACAGTAAAGAGAAATTTCCATTCTGAATAGACTACTGAACAGGTTTCAACACTGAGCCTGATCCACCTCGGTAATTCCCTTTTTAATTTCTGACAGGAGACACTGAAGAGGGTTTTCCTCCCTCTCCTCTAGGATGCAATCCCTTTGGATGGAAAATCGCATTTGGAGCTGCGTAGTGCCGTAGCCCAGTGGAAGCAGTGACACAGAACTGACAGAGCCGTGACGCTAGGCAGAGATGCACAGCAATGCTCATCAGACACGTCTCTGACTAAGCATCAAGACAGGTTTTAATTTTACTTGCAGTAGCATTTCAGAGTCGAGTTGACTTTTGGGTGTGTGTTCACAATTACATCTCCTATACTTGATTATAGGATGGGTAGAAATAGCTTCCAGGAAAAAGAATCGACAACAAAAATATTTGATCTTCTGAGTCTAATGGGCTTAGTTAAATGCTAATAAGAGTCAGGACTGCTCTGTTAAAGTTGCAATCATGTAAAATATGCACAAAAGGCAGCCTTGAAGCGGATTCAAAATAGAATACATGTCACTGCTGCTAGAAACTGCCCACAGCAGCCCTGGCCAGCAGGACTTTCTGCAATAATGGAGGCATACCACCTATGCTGTCCAATCCAACAGTCCCCCAGGAACAATCAACAGCTATAAAGCACTTGAAAAAACAGCTGACTTCTATAACCAAAAAGCCATGTTTTAATTTTATTTAACTAATTATCATTTACACAGTCCCAAGTACTTCCAAGATACCATACTGGACCATGCAAACTCAATTTCATCTCCTGAGCATATGGAGAATTAAATCACCCTAAAAAGTAGCCGGGCAAATTGAAATAAAGACACCAACCACATTCCAGAATATCTTACTGCTCGAATAGCTTTGGAGATTCCTCAACAGTTTTAATTGAGAGGGGAGGAAAAAACCACCCAAACACCAGGAGCACACTATTATTATTGTTTGCTGTTAGACACTGAAAAAAACTACACTGTTGTGCACTAGCAAGGTTTTAAACCACAGAACTTTCAAAAGCAAAATATATTTAATAATACCCTAATGATACTGTCCCACTGTAATTCTGAGCTAGGTCAACTACAAGAAGCCCGCTTGCTATGGTCTGGTAAGTTCTCGTTACCTGGAATATCATTCCATCAAGTAATTGCCCTTCCAGCTTCAGTAAGAACTTTTCAAATGGTTTTAGTTTTTCTTCTTGAATCCCGAACTTGGAAGGATTATGATGCACAGATTTCAGTAATCTAGTATGGGAACAGAAGAAAGATCTTAAATTGGTCTGTGGAGCTCTTACATTAATATATTTTTAATTTCCCTAGGAACCAAAAGTTTGTATTTACAATCCGTGTTTGACTCTACACATTCAAAAATCTGACCAGAACCTATCCTGATATTCTTAATTTCTTATCAGGCTCTCTTCTATTCTCTTAAATTCAGACGTCTCGTATTCAGTGGAGACTAGCAAATACTTACAAATTGAATAAAATACCTTCTTGTAAGCAGATTTGAAGTGAATAATACAACAAAACTAAGCTTAGATGGATAGAACCCAAGGAAAAGTAAGCCTGAGCCCTACTAACAATGGCACAGGACTGGGTGACCATTTCCTTCTGTTGTATGTAAGGATGCCATCGGCTGGAGCCGCTCATCAGCTCCGAACAACAATGCTGGGCTAGCACAACACACACGCTGGAAATTAAAGCGTGATTATCGTCCTCATAAAAACATTTGACACAACAGCCCTCTAAAATCAGATACTGGATCATTTAAAGGAGTCTCATGATTATATCTGTTTACTTTTTCACTACTAACATACATGACATAGATCCTTTTGTAAAATGTGATAGACTCACCTTTTGTACATAGTCCAGTGGTCTTTCAATGTGATATGATTATCAATAATCTCATCCAGGGTGAGCAACACTGTTAGCAACTCTCCCAAGTGCTCATACATAGTCTGTCAAAAAACCTTTAATGATTATCATTTAATTACTAGTTAGACGTTAAGCGTTATGTGCCTTTTTGAAATAAAATTAATTTCAGCTAATGAAATTAGCAAGAGCAGCAGATGAATCCTTTGTATTAAGTTACAGGTTTGGTCCTCAGACAAGACTGTTAGTCTTAAACAGAGAAAAATACTTTGCCCAACATCCCCTCTTTTGGACCTTGCAAACTGGTTCCACGGCCCAAAAAGACCAGTTGGACTGCTGGATCGGGTCACTAATGATAAAAACTCAAGCTTGCCCTGGGTCAGTAATCACCTCACAAACAGCCCCCCAAAGAAAAATCCTTGATAAGCTCTGCGAGAACTGCTGCACTCCCCAAACACAGTGTACGCAAAAAGTTACATACACAAACTCCTAAGTGAAATACTACCTAAAATTGTTTTACAGGTCGTTAAATTACTTTTACCTGAAAATGAACGCCAGTTGTCTCTATGATTTTGGGTGCAATCCTGCAATAAAATAACACCAAAGTTTAAAAACTGTCCTTTTTTGGTCAGTTTACATTATCTTAAATCATTCACACAGTAGCAGAAGCTCCCAAAAGGTTAGCAATTGTTTATTTGTATTAAGGACTTAGCCACTAAATTTTAAGAGATCGAAGAAATTATAACCATATTATACTTCCCTCAGAAGAGTATTATCTTGCACATATTAAGACTGGAATATTTTTCTTTATACCCTCGTCTGTAATAATACAACAGTGAGTGGCCAATAATCATTTACGTCTAAAGGGTCTATCCTGAGAAGGAGGTAGAGAATTAACAAAAGTAATAATGCCTATTTTCCTGAACTATCAGAATCTCTCAGCAACCAGCTACAATCTTTATTATGCCACCCAAATGCGAGGAGTTCTTGACTACTTTGTAATGATTTCTGAGTCCTGGTTCGTGCTAAAAAACAATGCATACTACTGGAAGGATACCAAAGTCAAAAAGTACCGGTGAATTCAATTTTACTTTCTAGAGGTTTTCCTCAACATTAAATAAAGGAAGATAGTGTATCTCAAAACATACAAATCGTTCTCGAGATAAAATGCATTTTTCTAAAAGATTAAACACAAAATCAAATAAACATCATCTTTGTATTGGAGGGAGTCCTCTTATAATTCACACAGTGTACTGAGGAGGGGGGACTAGGCTCATGTTCTTCTGCCAGGAGGGGAACTTTGGTCAAAGGTCAGAACATAAATACCTAACTTAAGGGGAAACCATGGAAAGGAGAAACAATAAACACCATTTTCCAGGTCATCAGGCAAGTTAAGATGCAGCATGTCATAGTTAAGAACAATGAATGGATCGGTGACCAGAACAGTACCTAAACTGAATCGGAATCTTGACAGTAACTTCTCTGGCCCACAGGTATCTGTTCTGCTGTGAGCTCCTACTCATATAACTGAAAGTTATTGTACGGACTTTTCAGATAGTAAGCATGGAACATGCTAAGTATAGAGAGCCAATCAAATGTGAGATGTTATTTGGAGATCCTAACAACAGGAGGGGAGATGAGAATTGGGTCATACTGGACGCAGATTCAGACTCACTTCCATCAAGTCGAACCAGACTCACAGCGACCCGGTAAGACAGGGTAGAACTGCCCCTGTGGGTTCCTGAGACTGCAACTCTTAGCCACAGCTTTCTCCCTCAGAGCAGCTGGTGGTTTTGAACTGCTGACCTTGCAGTTAGCAGCCCAACATGTAACCACTAAGCCACCAAACTCAGTCCCACACTCAAATGATCATTAAAATTAGAAAAAATTAGAGAAAAAAATTAATGTAAATTCACTAGCCCTGCTCCCTAAGATTCTATACTTGAGGAAAAGTCCCATGTGACTCACTGCATCAGGGAATCACTTATTTCAAGGAGAAAAAGAATAAGGATATGATAAGGAAATAAGGAAAATATGATACATGTACAAATTCGAACTTAGCCTTCTCTATATTGTCAAATTTCTTTTTTTAAGATTAGTCTGTAAACATTTAGCTTTAGACATGTAATGGGTTGATTCAATGGAGTAGGGACCATGTCTCATTGACCTATGTCCCACATATCATCAGGTGATGTTTGAAAAATGATGAGTGTTTAGAGAATGCTGGAAAGTGCACAACGGAAGGAAGGAAGGATGGCTGGATGGGTGGTGAATCAGTGAGTGAGTAAACAAGCAAATGAAAATCTACTGGGGGAAATTGTCTGGTTTAAGAAAAACAGTTCCTGCATCTCTATCATACAAGTAAAAATATGTCTAAAATCCATTACTTGTTACTGATATAGAGGGCAGCCAATTGATGGACTACATTCATCACCACTTCATAGCACCTCGTAACAAAACAAGACAGTTCCTGAAATGACAAGGTGAGTATATGTTATAAAGTTGCTTTTTAATGTTACTATTTCTGATTGAATTTTATAGTAACAACGCTAAACAAAATAAAACAATTTTCTGATAAAATCTCCGGTGAATCAGCATCCAGACAACCTCAAACGTTCTTCCAGCAATCAGTATGTCAGACTCTCCCCCTGTACCCCAGTCAGTAATCAGTATGTCTGACTCACTCCCGTACCCCACAGTCAGTAATCAGTATGTCAGACTCACCTCCTGTACCCCACAGTCAGTAATCAGTATGTCTGACTCACCTCCTGTACCCCACAGTGAATTCCACCTCTTTGTCCCTCCAATACTTTCAATTTCACATCTTTCTTAGTGGTCACACTCCATCTGGAAGGCAGGGGCTGCCTCGTTCCCTCTCTGAATACCCACTGCCTAGGTTGGTGGCTAATACACAACAGCTTCTGAATAATTCATCCATCTTACTCAATGAATAAATGAATGAACATGTGAGTGAATGAAGGAGCTAAAAAGCTACTAGTTTAAAAAGTATGATGATGAGAAGGGATTTTCCATAAGTCCCCTGAAATAAATTCAAATGTTTTTAATAACCATATTTTAAGCTATTATCAATACACAAGCTTGGCCCGGACTAGGTAAGATATCAATTATGTTTGTCATCAAATAATACTTAACTCCTATCTGCCATTCTATAGATCTTCTGAAAATGTGGCTTAGAGGTCTCTATTTTTAAGCCTATAGAAGCAGTCTGTATCTGATATATTTAAACTGGATTAGACCTATAGTACTTCTAAAGTTTAAGATCTATGAGGGCAGGGATTTATTTCTGTTCTGGTTTTATGTACTGCTATAGTCCCAGGAACAGAAACAGTTCCTAGCATACTTTAGACTCACAAAAAATATCTGTTGAATGTTTACATCAGGAATTTTATATCATCCATAAGAACAAAAAATGTCAACATTCCTAAAAATAAAAACAAATAATTTCAGTTGTATTTCAAACAAAGAGTCTTATTAGTTTCATATTTCCTATTAAACTTCGAAAATACTTGTATTTCTTCCTTTCAATTTCTATGAAATTCTCATTTCTTTCTCTAGGTCAGTTGAGCTCAACTCAAGTCCATAAAGAGAATTTCATTTTAGACATTTATGAAGTCTCTTCCAAAGTATTTTGTCTCTATAGTCATAGACCTGCTATCATTCAAAAGTATGATTATGGAAGAGAAGTAAAGAAATGAAAAGCCGGTGGTCATCAACTTAGCCGGCCAGCCCAAGTGCCAGGCAAGAACTGTGCTGGAGAAGAAGGTTTCAGTGATGATTATGTGGAGGCTGGATTCCACACCTGGATCGGTTCTTAGTTAGCAATTTACTCACCCAGGCACTCCATCCATTATATGTAATGCACATGTAAAAATCAGTCTAAAAATACTTGCATAATGGATCAGCTTCCTAGTTTGGTTCTGACCATAATAAAAAATAAAAGATGTCATTGGCAATTTGCCATCTATTAAAAGGAGAATTAGTGGATTTTGACAAGAAAGTCAGTTAGCCAAGATATGCACCTCCTTGCATTCTGATTGAGGTGATGGGGTTTGCTGTTTGATAGGACATAAAAAGGGTGACTCTCCTTTTAGAGTCAGTCCAAGGAATGTTAGCATTTAAAATACTTTCCAATTCAGGAGTCTAAAGAATTCTCAGGAGTTTTCATGAGAAGGATGCTAATTTCTTCAGATTAAGTGGAATAAGTTTGTCAATCTAATCCAACTAGATGTCTTTACATATGTTCCTCTTTAAGAATAAATTTATATTGCAGTGATATAAATGTTTAATGCTACCTCTCATTAGGATATAAAAGGATCTAGCCAGCTCATTAATAGTTGGAAGATTTTTCTCTAAATAAGAGTAACATTTCCTATTTTAAAATTTTCTGAGACTGTTCTCTTTGGCAAATTGAATTCTTCTCTATTTATATAAAACATCCTACTAATATAAAATGCAAGGGCCCTAGTGGTGTCGTGGGTAGGAATGAAGCCACTAAGCACAAGGTCGGCTATGTGACTAGACCGGCTGCTGTGCGGGAGAAAGAGGAGGCTACTGCCCGCATGAGGACGGAAGTCTTGGAACCCGCTGGGCAGTTTAACTCTGCTGTGCAGGACTGCTAAGAGTAGGACTTGACTCAATGGCAGGCAGGTGTTTTCTAGTTTGTATAAAATACATCACAGCTCATGCGTGGTTTCCACAGGCAGGTGGAAAGGGCACGTGGCACCGCTGTGCAGAGGGACGGGAAGATCCGGAAGTGGACAGTGGCCATGGCTGCACAACATGGGAAACAATGTCACTGAACTGTGGACACAAAAATGTTGAAATGGCAAGAATTCTGTTATATACAAGGAGGCTTCAAAGAGTTCACGGGAAAAAATGAAATTAAACAATAATGAAATGTTTCCATAACCTTTGTGAAGCCACCCATCTATGTTCACCATAATTTAGAAGGGGGGAAGAAACAAACTCTGAACAAATGTCAACTTTTCCCTGAGCAAGAGCAATCATTAGAAGAAAAATATCTGCTATTTTGGCTCCCGGTGAAATGGAACTTGACATGAGAAGGGCTCATTGCACGTACTTGAATTGGAAACCAAGGTTCTGGAGCAATACGCATTTGGGCAATAAACTAAGTAACACAATTCACTGAATACACTTCGAGCTCTAATAATAACAAACAACATAACTTTACTTTTACAGTGTCAAATAGCAAAACTACCATAAAGTCAAGAAATTGACAAACTGGAGAAAAGAGATACGGAACTCAGATAAAGAGCCAAGGAATAGACACACTAGGTAAAATACAGATAAATGAATAATTTTCAATATATGAGACAATGAACATCTTCATTAGTAAGGGAGAGATAAATTTGTAAATAATTATGAGATACTGAAACATTAATGCGAACAGTTTTTTAAGTCGCAGAAAACAACAAGACCAAATACCATTTCTATCGGGTTCAAAACGAAACAATGCTAAACTTTTAGGGATACATGAGAACTAGGGCCCATTGGGAAATAAGGCGTGATGAGAAGAGTACGTGCACGTGCTAGCTCCCATGATCTAGGTGCTGTGTTAGGTGGTAAGTTGCTGGGTGCTCATTTTATTAAGCATGACATGCATATAATTACACATATTGTTTTTTAAAACAAAACTACACAAGGTGGATAATAGCATGTAGAGTGTGCTAATATCACACTGTAAGTCCAAAGGGTGCTCAGCTCAAACACATTACCTCTGAGGGAGGTAGGATTGTTCGTGTTTTTTTCCTTATCTCCAATGTAAACACATTGTTTTTGTAATGGGGAGGGAGAGATCCAAGTTTTTCATTTTTTGATAAAATGAAACCCAAATGTCACAAAGACTTTTGCAAGGACCAAGAGCACAACTAAATGGGAATGTGTGGTTAAAGGCATCAAGCAGTGCTGCCTTTAGCCACCTCATCACAAAATGGCCATAAATGGCATTTTACAAAGAAACTTACTTTGACATCTGTTTCCTATAAAATGATAGGGAAATCTTTCAGAAGTTACTTATTTCCTAAATCATAACCCACTGCTCTTTAAGTTTTCTTTAAATTTTTTTCTTTATGTTTTCTTTAAGTTAACTGTTTTTATATAATAAAATAACAATAAGTAAATAAGTTTTCTTATTATGGGTAAATTAACTGAAAGCTTTCAGCAACAACAAAAACACTCAATATGATGTAAAAATCAGTTACCTGTAAGAATGAAACAAATCTCCCCATTTGAATTTGACATTCACCTTCCACCATGCTGGAATCTGTAGCTTTAAGAGACAACAAGAATCCTATTTCAGTGTTTCAAATTAAACAACTCACTCCACAAAGAAAGGGAAATAAAAGCACTATTTATATAGTACCATAAAAGACAATAGTTTAACACTGAAAGGAAAATGAGACAACCATCAGTCTCACACTCAGAAGGAAACACATTCTACTGTTTAATGAGTTCAATGGAAATTCTCATCTAGTCAGAGAACTTTGTTATTTTAAAAAATACTGCAAAACACTTTAGCAAATTTGCCACTACTTCATCACGACTCAATTTTTTTCTCACCTGTTTACTGAGTAAACAAAAAAATCCAAAAAGTTATCTTGGAGGTTTATTGTCTTACACTACCACAATTGCCAGAAAGACAACAAATCTGTCTTTGAAGCAGTACCACAACAGTGCTCCTTAGAAGCGAGGGTAAGTGAGACTTCGTCTCACATGCTTTGGGTATGTTCTCAGGAAGAGCAGTCCCTGGAAAAGGACATCAGCGTGGTGGAGAGTCAGGGGAGGAGAACCCTCCAGGAGATGCACTGAGACAGTGGCTGCAGCAACAGGCTCAGACCTAACCACAACTGTGAGCATGGTGCTAGTCCGACTACGCGGAACCGACTCAAAATCACCTACTACACAGACCACACATATCCATGTAGTCTAGAACTGTCTGAAGTTCTATTTCAGCTTCAAAATGGCATCACTGCGTTACAAATTTGAAAGTTCAAAACTTACCTCCTTCTCCATAAAACAGCAGGCCATTATAAAATTTCATTTCAGCCTGATTTAACAAACAAAAAAGAACGAGATATTTTTAATGTTGCTAATTTGTTCTTAAGTCACTAGGCTCTTTCAGTGGCCTATAATTAATAAACTGATGACAGTATCATTTATATACAAAGTCACTTAAATTTTAAAAATCTATAATACAAGCAAATTCTATTTATTTTTGAGAATATCAAAGATATTGTTGATGCTCAGAACGCTTTTCCTGATGTCGCGAGTCTTTACTATGTCTTACACAGCAGACCACTCTGCTCTTGGCCTCCCATTAATTCATGGGAGAGAGAGCTTTTTGACACAAAGTAAATACTCAACGAGTGGAATTTATTATTATTACTATTGCTTTAAATAAATATTTAACCACTACCCAATAACCAATGAATATCCATCTAGAAAATACATAAGCACATCTTTGATTTTAAAGTACCTGTATTTAAAGTCTAAAGACAGAGTACAAGCAATTACCTCATACTTTAATTTCTTGATTTCACAACAAAGTGCAGCATAAACAGTGATGACTTTGTTTAAGACCTGGTTCCAGTCATTAAAAACATAAGAGAAAAAAGTATTATTATAACTGGAAATTTCTTTTGAAAAAGCACTTATAAAAATACACCTTGAAGCATAGACATGGGTACCTTGTTTTCAGTCTTTATGAGTTCCAAAAGGGAAGACTGCTCACAGGGCAGAAGCTACAGAAACAGAGAAGTACATTTCATGTCAACTTGAAAAATCCGTGGAATTATTTTATGTTCACAAATTGTAGCTACGTCTCTCCTCAGTTAAACGTGTGCTAGACCCTGCGCTGAGCCCCAGCACCACACACCACACCACACCAACTGTTCTGCTCAACACAAGCCCACTTGCCAGCGTAATAAAGCAAGTGGGCTTGTTCAAGGAGAAATGGCACCACCTGATGGAATCATGGTGCAAAGACTTTTTTTTCTTCTCTTTACTAAAAGCTGTTTTTATTTCTAACAGTATTTGAGAATGTACATTCTAATTTTGGGCATATGAATAGTAGCTTGGTAGAAGTAAAAATACCACTTTTAACAGGCTTACAACCAGAACACAACAGGGAGTAGGGCTTTGTTTATATTTCAACCCAAACAAGTCAAAACAAAGGAATTTGAGTAGCAAGGGGTAATGGGATATGTTCAGATATGCCTGCCAAAGACTATAATACTAAAAAAAAAAAACACAACTAAATATTATTATTCATCCAAGGAGCCCTGGTGCTGTAATGCAGCTTGACCCACAGTTGCTCTGCAGGAGAGAGATGAGGCTTTCTGTGCCCATGAAGAGTTGCAGTCTCAGAAGCCCACAATGCAGTTCTACTCTGTCCTCCAGGATCGCAGTATGAGTCAAACGCAACTCAATGCCAGTGAGTTTGTTTATGGGTCTTATTACTCATCCAGGGATGCTACTGTCTGCATTAATACTGGCATTTCTGTATGTTTTAGATTTGGGTTTTGTAGTGAAGGGAAAAAAGTAGTTACCTCATTTGAGTTTAAAATCATTTGATGACTTTACAAATTATAAAAGAACTAAAATTAAAATTTCAGAGCGGAACTATAATTTAAGTAGGTATGCCTTAAAGGAAATCTGAAATGAAACTTGAAAGTCTTCATGTGTTCGATGCCGAGTGAAATAAAGCAGTCACACAAAGACAAATATTGTATGATCCTACTTATGTGAAAAAGGCCAACAGTTATCAGGGATGGGAAGGAGGCTACATGCAAAGATTTAGGTTGTCTCACAAGTGATCAGGTGGGAGAAAACACAGGGTCAGACTAATGTTAGTCAGCTCCTTCCAGTATGACCAAGGAAAAGACCTCTCATCATTTCAGAATTTGCCTGGCAGATAGAAGTTTAATAACATGTAGCGAAATGGGTCAAGATAAAACACCAAGAAGAACTGAACGAGCCGGCATGTTTTCCTTCTTGCACAGCTCTAGGGCTCCAGCACAGTTCAAACACAGTATGTAGCCCAATTCCCACGCCTTGCTGAGCATCATCTTCAAGCCATCTCTTTAGGAAGTGTAGTGGTAGAAGTCTCTTTGGGGAGTGATTATATATTATCAAGTCAGTATTTATGTAAGGAAATGATATATCCCTTTTCTCAATGGGCTATGTTTAGAGATTTTGTATGAGTTTGTGATTTTCTCCTAATGCTAAGCAAAACACCTTGTATGAGAGTGTCATGAATTGAACTGAATCCCTGCACACACACACCCAAAATGTATTGGAATGCTAACCACTACAGACACGAATATGCCTATTTAGAAATATGGCTTTGTTATGCTAACGAGGCTACATCATGTGGCTAACTTCTAAGTTACAATGGGTAGCAGGGGCTCCTTAAGCCAAGCAAGCACAACAGGTTGTTCGAAGATCTCCAAGGAACTTTGGCTACAGACCTAGTAGAGACAAGGACCTTTCCCTGGAATTACACATGGGATTGTATGGTATGTGGAATGTATTTCAATAAAGCTATATTTTAAAGTTCACACTTGCTGAGCTGTCACAAGAATGCTGGTGTTTTCATGACTGAACACTGCTGACTAGTCAGGAGTTACACTCTCTCATACAGTTTGTGAGACTGAAAGCAATATGGGTCTTTATAGGAGCCAGCAGTACAGGATAGCTTTTGCTTGAAATAGTCAGTCAGCAAGATGTGTTAACATGCAACATAAGACAGTATCTGGTACATAATAAATGTTGGTTATTATTTAAGTGATAACAGGCTACAGGTTTAAAAATGGAAGTACCTCAAAATGGAACAAAGAGCAACTTAATACATTAAAAATAAAAAAAATAAACCACTCACATTACCCACCGCATTGAGTCCATTCTGACTCACAGTGACCTGACCCTGTGTAAGATGTCCAAAACTGTAAGCCTTTATAGTACAAACAGTCTCATCTTTCACCCACAAACCAGCTGGTGGGTTTGAAGTGCCCACCAGCTTGTAGTTGGGAGCCCAATACCAAATCCACTGAGCCACTAAGGTTCCTTAACAATCACATTAAGATCCCCTAAAGAGCCTTTCTAGTTCTCTAAATTCCAAAACATAAAGGTATAGTTTCCATTAAAAAAATATACCGTATATACTTGTATATAAGCCGAGTTTTTTCAGCACATTTTTAATGCAGTTTTTGTGGTAAAATTAGGTGCCTCAGCTGATGTTCAGATCAGCTTATACTCAGGTATGTATGGTACTATGTCCTGAAAAAATAACCAAGGGTAAAAAAAAAACAGAAAACCTTTAATGCTATGGGATCAAGATTGAAATCCCAAACGTCTCCAATCGAGTCATCCAGAGCATCCTCAACTCTTCTCAGGTGAGAGGTATATTCCTCCAGAAACTTCCCATAATTCTTCAGCTGGACTTCTGCATGAATTTCTAAAAGTAAATTTTTAGACAGGATATAATGAGTACAAGTCATGAGTTGTCATGTATAATGTACTGTAGAAGAAGGATATAACCATCTCAAAAGCCACAGCACGGTAGGCAGTAGACACTGCTACACTGTATTACTTTACAATGTCTGGATTTCTTGAGAATAAAACGTTAAACAAAGTAATTCAGATTCCAATCATCTCCAAATAGGTTACCTAGTTTTTAAAACAGTAGATGTGAATATATATATATATATATACACAGAGAGAAAGCGTGTGCGAGAGCGAGCGCGGGAGCGCTCTGTTACCAGCCCAGATCTCATTAGGTGTAGCCTAAAAATCAGACTGGATGCTAATGAGAGGAGAAAGCTGTGCTTTAGTGGATCAAGCAATGAGCAAGCTGGGACTAGAGTCACCACAGCAAGCTCCTGATAAAAAGGGATTTGCACTTGTATATGTGTGCACCAGAATGTCAATTGAGGGAATTATGTATATGCATCAGATTGCCAAGGAGTGGTCATGAACATGCACTGAGGCAGGACTATAAGTTTGGGCAGGAAAGGGCTTGACAGACCCCTTGCTTCTAAATGTTGGTCTGGTGGCATCTTTCTGGTGACTTTTGTTCCTAAATCAAAGTACTGTTGTTTCAGAGGCAGCTGGAGGCTGCCACTGCCTTTTCTGCTGGGTTTGCATGCAGTGCTGGACATTTGTGGACCAGCCCTGGTTACAGCCCTCACTTGCTTGCTGGCGTAGAACAGGGAAATATATGTGAAGTGCATATTTCAACAGCCTGTGACAACATCTCATCTATCTTAAGGGTAGTACATTGGGTAAGCTGCTGAATTTTCAGCATTACACCAGGCTAAGTAAGTCGGTGAGTGGTCTCAGAAATATAATAGTAATACTCTAATGTATTACCAATAAATAAATGATAGCCTTTTATCCCATGTAGGGACATTAAACAATCTGAATACATACCTTAGACAATTCAATGTCCTAATTCCACGTTGGTCACAAAACACTCATTTGCAAAAAAGAAAAAAATGTTCATGGCCTGAAGGGATGCAACAACCGGTATTGTCACACAAGCAAAACTTTCAGTAGGATTCTTAATTTTATGCATAGGCAACTTTCAAACCAAACATACATACATACTCTCCTTTTACAATGAAGAATTTAGGCTTGTCTTATTGAAGTGAGCATTATTCAAATTTTGTAATGATTTCTTTCACCCACGCTATTGTGGGACTCACAGTTTTCCTCTTAGCTTTACTGCTGATATTACTAACTTTCTTTGGAGCCATGATTATGATATTTTACTGAAATAAAAGCACAGTAACGAGGGTCCTAACCGTCTAACACAAGCACTGTATGTTATCCTAGCAAGAGTGGCACTTAGACTGAAGTGCCATCCTTTGTGTCCATGGGAAGACTCCATGCATGACTCAGTCTGGGTCCATATAGGTTTTCTCAAGTTGGATTTTCAGTTTGACTGTAGAGCAAAGTTACAAGCACTGAGCAGATTTTGTTCGAGCTTTGCTGTTCAAGTAGTGGAAAGTTCAAGCTTGGTGCTATTTGACAACCAAGGTATCAGTGTATAATCCAGTTAGAAAAACTAGTTGAAAAAGCCACTGGTCAAGTAGAGATTATTGTGCTATTTTTATAGAATTACATGAGATCACTGGAAGTCACTGGACCATAAAGGGCACACCTTATTCATCAAATCTGGGAAATTAAATCTTTCACCTAATAAATGAGAAGTCATTACTTATTCCCAAAGTCAGCAAATTCAAATCCAACTCAGTTTCTTTTGTTGATATGAATACTCTGTTGAATCTAGTCTTCCAAAAGAAATAGATTTTTCTCTCTCTCCTGACATTAGCGATGTGAAGCAGCTCAAACACAAGAGAGTGTTCTGGCTCATAACATATTAGAGACCAAACTCTCACTCCTACCTTATTTTCCAGCAGTTGTTATGAATCTCCTCATTCAACTCATCACCATCAAGTGGATTCCGACTCATAGTGGCACTACAGGGCAGAGGAGAACTGCCCCAGGGTTTCTGCCTCAGGGTTAGCAGCCTAACACTACAACCCACTACATCACCAGGGCCCCTATTCTGAATCTCCACTGAATCAATTTAGCTCATTAATGTTTCTAACTCATTATAGTATTAATCTAGGCAATTTAGGGAAACAATTACTCTAGATATGATCCATACTCCAAAAATTAATGAAAACCAAATAAAGAGAAAGGATAACTCATTTCTTCCTGCAGCTTAAATTTAAGAACTGCAAAAGATTCTCAGTATCCCAAATATTATTACCCTCATTCACCTAGGCGCTGCCCATCAGAGCTGCACTTGGCAAATCTGTCCTCAGAAACAAGGCTTAGCTGACACCAAGTGCTTACGCAGAAAGAAAATGTTTAGGGAATGTTGCCATCAACATTGTACAAGTGTGCTTATTAATACAATTCAGTGATGGATTGTCATAACATTTGTAAGAGCCCCCAATACAATGACTAATTTTTAAAAGGCTAGAAAAATATTACTCATTTCATCTGTGTGAAGATTCACAAAGTAGCAGGCAACCAAACCTACAGTAACATTGTAAAGGCCCTTCCTAGAAGGTAATGAAAAGTTGTATAACAGGTTAAAAATAAGATGATGTGGCATAAGGACTTCTTGGTGATTCTCTAGGAATAAAATTCCAAAAAAACAATTTATATGCTTCTCTGGAGCATTCCTTTTATCTTTGTATCCCCCAAATCTAGTATACTACATAAACCAAAAAGCAAAATCTCTGTCTTGAGACCCAATAGGACAGAGAAGAGCTGCTCCACAGGGTTTCCATGCCTACAGCTCTGAAGGCATACTTTAAAGTGAGCTGGGCAGCAGATTTGCCCAATCATTTCTTTAAAGTGTTCCCTATGACTACAGCTTTGGATGTCAACTAAGGCCACATGGAAGATGCACACCAGCCAGTGTGATCCAAGAACTGTAAATAGTAAAATCCAAATCTAAGGGGGAATGGTAACAAGAGGTTAAAGGCTGAACACACGGTTTACAGGAAAAGGCTATGGATAACAGTGGAAGCCCAAAATCCAACTGCTGGGTCCCCATGGAGATTAGGCCTCTGGTGAAACCCCTCAGATCAGTCCAGGGATATAAACAGCCTGTCAGACAGAGAGCACTGTAGTTGACTATGGATGATGTAGTTAGGTTAAAACCTAACACCTTATTATTTGATCTTTGGACCCATTTTAAAGTTGCTTCAGTTTTTAATATTTTCTGACCTTTTTCTACGACAGTTTCTGTTTTATTTTGTCAGCATTGTTGGTTTTGTTTTGTTTGTTTCTGTCTTGTATGATATTCTGTCTGTGAAATCCAGGATAGGTAAATCTACAGAGATAGTAACTGGATTAATAATTACCTAAGGGGATGGCAGAGGAGACTGGGAGGGAATGGGGAACTAACAAGTGTGAGAAAGAAGAAAGTGCTCTGAAATTGATTGTAGGGGTGATTGCACAACTCTTCTTAATATGACTGAACTCTTAAGTTCTATGATATGTGAATTATATGCTAACTAAACCATGTTTTAAAAAAGACTACAGCCTTGGAAATGCTGTGGGCCAGCTCTACTATGTTTTTTAATCATTTTATTGGGGGCTCTTACAGCTCTTATCACAATCCATCCATCCATCCATCCATTGTGTCAAGCACATTTGTTGCCATCATCATTTTCAAAACATTTTCTTTCTACTTGAGTCCTTGATTATCAGCTCCTCATTTTCCCCCTCCCCAATCCTCCCTCCCTCATGAACCCTTGGTAATTTATTAAACTTTTTTTTTCCTGTCTTATACCAACCGCTATCTCCCTTCACCCACTTTCCTGTTGTCCACCCCCCTGGGAAGGGTTTATATGTACATCATTATGATCTGTTGCCCCTTCCTCCCCCCCTTTCCCCTTCCCTAATTCTTGGTCCTGAGAGTCTACTCAGTTCTAGGGTCACTTTGAGGACTAAGGTGCACCTGACCCAAACCACGGTATTTTTAATTGCTTCGTTTGCATGCGAAAGTCGGACATTAAATAAGAAAAACTAAACATGAATTGATGCATTTGAATTATAGTGGCAGTGAAGAATACAGAAGGTATCATGGACTGCCAAAACAGTCTTGGAAGAATCATAGCCAGAGTGTCCTTAGAAGCAAGGATGACAACTTTGTCTTACATGAGAGACCAGTCTTTGGAAGACATCATGCTTGGTAAAGTGGAGGGGCATCAAAAAAGGAGGGCCTTCCACCAGATGAATGGACACAGTGGCTACAACCAGGTGCTCAAACATAAGAACAACTGTGAGGATGGTGCAGGACTGGGCAACGTTTCGTGCTGCTGTACATAAGGGTCACTAGAGTCGGAACCAACTTGATGCCACCTACCAACAGTTTTTACTGAGGCAGACTGCAGTATCTTTTTTCTCAGAGTGGCTGACAGATAGATTCAAACCACTACAATTACTGCACCTGAGAGCCTTGCCTAGTATGAGTATGTAGCATAGCAAAAATGAAAGCAATCATTCTAAGTTGAACTATTTTAAATTTCAGTAGCATGCACTCATTCTAATTTTTTGAAGATTCTACAGAGGAGGGATGACCTTTGCCCATAAAACGTTAACACATGACAAGGCACAGTTCACTTTTTAACAGTAAATACAGAATCCTCCCCCCCACACACACACACAAAAAATGAAAAAACCGAGCTGTTGCTAACACCAAGATTGCTTAGTTGGTTGGTTGTTTTTTGTTTTGTGACAATGCCAACATGCGAATGTCTGTGGAATGCTTTGTGGAAAAACTACAAACAATCCTGGAAGTAGCTCACCCTTCTTTGAGAGACTAATAAAACCTAACTACAATTTAGTTACAGAATAAGGAAGTTAGGTGAACTATAATACCATATTGCATATAATAAGGAAAACTGAAGAATTAATGCGTTTAAATTATGCTAGAGAAAAAAACTTGAAGTACCAGGAATGCCAAAAGAACAAACACATCTGTCTTGGAAGAGGTACACCAGAATGCTCCTTAGAGGCAAGAATTCACCTCAGCTACCTTGGGCATGTTGTCAGGAGAGGCCAGTCTCTGGAGTTGGCCATCATGCTTTGTCAAGTTCAGTGCCAGTGGAAAAGAGGAAGGCCCTTGAGGAGATGGTCGCAACGACAGGCTCAAACTTAGCAACTGTGAGAACGCCCAGGCCCTGACTGTTTCATTCTGTTGTACCACAGGGTCACCGTGGTCGGAACAGACTCAACAGTTTAGTTAGTAAACACTGATTTTCCTTTGTAAAACCTTGCGCAATTCACCTGGGATTTTAAAAAGGAAGAGTTGTCTACTGTGCAGGGAAACTATGCACTCAAAAAAAGTTCATAAGCAGTATGCCCCGCTCTCTCTTCCGATTCTCCTATCCGGATTGTTATCACCCAAGAAGCAGACTGTCAATTTGTATTAATCTTGGGTTTCCTTAAAAATCATTCATGTAGTTGGATTTGTAAGTTTTGTTGTGGCGGCTGGGCTTGTCCATGGAAACCAGACAATGTCATTTCATGCAAATCCGCTGACGCTGTTGAAAGCCTTCCAGCTGCAGCGGAAATTAGAGACTCTGGAAAACGCCACTGGGCGTAAATAAAAGGCAGGAAGGGAATTTGACGTTCACGTGTTTATTTTCTCGCTGCGTAAAGAGTTCCTTCCCGCATTACCTTCGTCGATTATAAAAATGTGGAAGGAAAAACACTTCCAACTTCCAAAAGGGGGGGTGGTGCAAAAACAGGAAACCGAAACAGGAACTCAGCCATCAGCCTCTTCAAGAACCGATCGCGCCCGAAGTCTGGCAAAAACCAGGCACGGGAACAAGCCCTGCACCCCAGAGCGGCCCGCACTCCCGGCCGCGCCCCACCCTCGTCCCGGGGCTGCACGGAGTAGGCGCCGTCACCTCGGGGACCTCGGGGTCCCCAGGACCACCGCCACCACGAACGCCGAACGCCGCGCGCTGCCCGGGCCAACCCAGACCACCACTGCCGGGGCACCCCCCCTGCCCCCCGCCCCGAAAGTGACGCTGGATGGCGCGTCCCTCCCACAGCCCAAGGTAGCGAGTGTCCGAGTCGGAGGGCGGGTCGCCGGCCGCGACGCAGAGCCCGCCCGCAGGCGCGCGGCCGGGGCTGAGGCGGCCCGAGCAGCGTCCACCCGCAGCCCTGGCCCCGACGCCCCCTTACTCTGCGAGCCGTCATCCACGCGGTCGAAGTCCCAGTCTGGGGACAGAGTTTCCACCGCCATCACCCCGCCGCCTCCCACAGACGCAGCCCCAGCCAGCCCGGCTGCCTCGCCCGGACCGCGGTCCCAGCACGTGACTTCCGGCCCCAGCCCCGCCCACGCTCTCGAGAACCAATCAGGACGGCCGCCCGGGAGGGTCGCAGGGGCCGCCGGGAAAGCGAGTCCTCCGCGGCGGCGCAGCGCGGTCACTATGGCGCCCGTGCTGGTGGCGGCGGCCATTGGTTCTTGGGCCTCGTCGCCGTCCACTTCTCTGGTCCTGCTCCCTGCGCACCTCCAGGTTTGCGTTGCTGGCCTGAGGCGATCTTTAATCGCTAGCCTAAAAAATGGCCAAAACGATGAGAAAAGGTCTTAAACAGCACGGCCGTCGTGGTCGATGCTGTCTGTAAACTGACAGTCATCCTGCCCATTCCGACTCTTTCACGCCGTAGGATGCATGAGAACGGCCCCGTGGGTTTCCCAGGCTGTAAATGTTTTTAAAAATCATTTTATCGGGGGCTCGTACAACTCTTATCACAATCCATACATTCATCCGTTGTGTCAAGCACATTTGTACATTTGTTGCCATCATCATTCTCTAAAC